ATAACGAACCAAAATGGTGTTAGATATTCAGACAGTACATCATATTTTAAAAAATACAGCAGTTCAAAATGTAAACAAACCGTTTGTTTACATTACGGACTTGACTTCCCCTTTAATAAGAGAATATAAGAAATCCTAAATTTTAAGCCGTCAGCATCAATTTTGGTGATGCCTCCATATCTAAGATTCATTATCATGTTAAAGTCTACACTTCCTGTGAATTTGGTGCTTTCTTCACAAAGTGCATGATTTTCTCAAATATCTGTGTATATCCTCTAGTGTTATTTATAATCTCTATGATTCTATTAAATCCTATTGACTTCCACAAATTCCTTACTCTTCAAGAAATTACTTCCTTGAAAATTCCTTCGTTCTAAAAAAAGGAAGGACTTTGTGAAAGTCTACAGGTCATGCTATGCACATTTTTAATGATTTGCATTATTCAAATAGATGCAGGTTTATTGGAAATTTTAGCATGACCAGTTGTCATGGCTAGCTTGCCACTGAAAACTGTACAATAACATGTATAACAAACAATAATAATACTTGAATGAATCATTGGATATGTAGAATTTAATTAAAATTTCATACATAAAAATACTACCAGTAAGGGCCTGTTCATATGGGCAAAAGTTATCCGTATCCTCACTAGTGAAGATATGGAGAATATGTCACTGTGTATTTCTCAGTACTCACTCTCTGCTATATAATAAATGAGAATACAAGCGGTACAAAGGTATATACTATATAGCTTACCTATTTGTGCCCAAAGTAAACAAACATGTAGATATTTTTATTATATATACACCCCCCTGAAAGGCGCCATCCCATAATCCTCCAGTGGCTTTTCTGCTCCGACAGTATTTATTTAGCGCGAAGATTCAAAGCTAGAGTTTTAATATTTTGGTGGAAAAAACTATAATATATAATCTTTAAAAATATTTGAAGATTTTTATTTCTTTGTAATGAATTATATGACGAGAAAGTCCTGAAGGAATCTGGCAGCGAAATGTTCCGATCTCCGTGCACAATTTGCACTGATCTATTGACTTGTGATAACTTGGCTGCTTGCCCCTGTATCCTTTTATTTATAGTTTATAATCAAAGTCTTTTAACATGAATAACGAGGATTTTTAGTACGAATTCGAAGTTGATTTGAGTTTGGTGTATTAAAGACATGTAGTGGGTGTATTAAAGACATGTTTAATAAACTCATGACAGTAATGTGAGAGTTGTAAATGTAAGTTTTTTAATATAAAACAGAATAATACCTTGGTGCTTGGAAATACCAGATTTTTTTCTGGTGTTGAACATGATATCTCATTGGTTCGCTGCGCTCACTGGTGAGATATCATGTTCAACACTCGAAATTATAAATCTGGTATTTCCGTGCACCCATGTATTATTCTCTATTTATTATATAAATTAGTACCAGTATAGTGCTTTATAAAGATTTCAAGCCCTGATAATCTAACTGACAATCTCACCTGCAGGGCTGCAAGTTACTGTCGGACATCGGACAATGTCTGACTAAATTTGCCAAATAAACAGGTGCACAGAAATACCAGATTTATTTCTCGTGTTTCATCATGTTCAACACTCTGGTATTTCCGCGCACCCATGTTCTATTCTCTATTTAAAAGTGGCAAACAATGCACCCTACTTTGTTGTTTTACAATGAAAATTGGCCACTAAGTTACCAAAAACTACTGTAACAATTGATTCAACATTTTCGAGTTCTGAGATAAAGCAAAGGCTCTCAGCTTCAAGTCCCTGAACACATTACAGGACCAATCAGCACATCTTTTTAACCAATTACCAGAAGAAATTAGGAACTGCAGAGACTACAGAGTATTCTACAATGAGACCAAGAATTTCTTAGTCTTGAAAGCAATTACTGGTCAAGACTTGGATAATCTTAGAAAGAAATATTTAAATGTATATAGTTTCGTACAGTTTTGTTCTAACTTAGTTAATTCATAATTTTGTAAATAATATTTTGTCCTGTCGAACGTGCATTATATATTCAAAGTTATATTGCAGTAATATTCGTAAAATAGTTTATAGACTTTATGAATACTTTATAATTTATATAATTTGGTAAGCGAAGAGTCACTCTGTGAATACTGTATATTACCAATAAATCATTATTATTATTATTATTACTTTGTCTAATGCCAGAGTCCAAGGGAGAGTGCATGTTGGCACTCAATGGGGTTAAACAAAATATTTTTCTTTAACTTACTTGATTCATCAGGTGGCCATGTATATCATAACAATTGGTAAGTATTCTTACATGTAATAATTAAGGCTGATAATTCCACATACATGACAAGAGCAAATTTACTCAATTTTTTGAGTAAGTTCCAAGTAAGACCAAGTTTACTGATAATGTTACAATTTTCCTCAGTATATAGTCATCACAATTAGTATTAAAGATTTACTAAAAAATGATCAAATTTGTTCGTAAATTTGAGCAATTTTACTAATTAATATTTTTAGCCATTTTGGGTGCATTAACGTTTTTGAGCCAATGAAATTTTTTGGTAGTGTATATTGATTTATTAGTATATTGTCTGGATCCTGATGGAAGCACTTTTTTATCAGTCTAGAGACTTGGTATCAACGTAGTCGTACATGTCCTACGTGTCGTAAGTCTTGTCCGACAAGCATCAAGCTTTACTTCAGTGACGTACAAGAGAGTGCTTCCCAAGAAGATGTACATACTGTTAAAGTAAGTACTAACCCATCAAGCCCCAGTGCTGGGTCTTAACTAGAAGGCATTGTCGGTCATGTTACAGTAACTGCAACAACTAGAAAACCACAGCAAAATGAAATGAACATGGCTTTGTTTTATTTTATCTAGAATGAGCTTCGAAAACAAACTGCGTTGAGTCTTGAAAAAGGTGAATTTTTAATACTCTGTATTCTTTGTCATTCCGCTGCCACCCAATTCGACATTCTTAAGTTGATGACAAGACCAGTAGTGAAAACTTTGTGAATTTTTTTTGGGGGGAAGGCGAGTGCCAAAGGCACAAGATTTGTAGCGGGGTCAGACAATTTTTAAAATATGGATCCCTGAAATGGCATTTGCATCCCTGAAATGGCATTTGCAGCATTCGATCTGTGGATACATTTTGTAAGAAATTCCAGGTTTTCAAAACATTAAGTTAGTGGTGCATTTTGGTATAAATCATGTGGTAACTTGATACTTACGTACTGCAACCTGAACTTGCAGTACATAATAAATATTTAAACCAGAGAAGTGGTCAGAACACCTGAAGTGAAAATTCCTACCTATAGAATAGATACTGTATAATCCGTAGTAATTTTTTTTGGGGGGGGGGCTGCCCCCCCCCCCCCTAGTTTCCGCCATTGGACGAGATTGGGACCCAATGCTAAATAGTAACCAAATTGAGTTCCACACCATAATCGTCCACTCTCTTGGCACGTTTATCTTCGATCGCTACTATTACCAAATGAGTTGCGCATTCCTCCTCTTGTGCTCGCTGTTGCCGGCAAATCTCTATAATACACGCGTAAAAGTTGAGAAAATCAACAACTTGTTCCAGGTTGATATCAACAGGCGTGAACAAGGTTGTGCATTGTGCAACTGTAACAACTTGGAACAACATGGTTGACAACTTGTTCATAGTTGGCCATACAACATCGTTCACGCCTGTCAATATCAACTTGGAACAACCTGTGTGTTTTTAGCCGTGTAGTAAGCGGACACCTCTGTTAAGTGGATACATCGGTAAGATCCAGTAGAAGGACTGTCTTCTTAATAGCGTTTGACTGTATACTTTACGAGTGAATTGGGTCTAGCAATATGCGTAAACACTAAACACACGTTTGTCGACTGAGCCATCAATGACGTTTAAATATTTTCCAAATGTAGATGCTCAGATTAAAGTTCTCCATGAAAAAGTCAATGAAATGAGTAGCAGGACAGAAGAACAGCTGTGTCTAGTAAGGAAGGCGCAGGAGTTAGCTGAAAACGAAAAGTTGATACAGGAATCGCTTAAGGTTCGTTCTTGGTTGAGAACTTTTGGTTAAGGGTATAGTGGGTAGAGACGTAGAGTTGTGTAGACTCGAGTCATGTGATGTCTTGGACTTGAGCCGCAATCTTTGTGACTTGCCTTGTCTGAGTAACACGGCTTTTGACTTGATCTGAACTCGAACAAAATTACTTGTGACTAATTCACTTGGACTGGCAAGAAATGACTTGTTACCAACGAAAGTCAAAACTAAAGTGTCGTATGAATATCTGGGTAAAATTAACTTTTCTATAATTACTGTACCCCCGTCCTCCGTTCATCCACCATTTTGGGGGTACTGCCTCTCCCAATTAAGCCTGAGACAAGGCCGGATTTTGGTGGAAATAGTGCGGAGGTGGAAAAAAATTAGGGGAGGTGCAACAGTTTAGCTCACGATCCCTATGGAAAGTTAGTGCTTAGAAAGGGCCAAAGACAACAACGTGACCTGTGCATGTAATGTGCATACTGTATGTATCAGTGTTTCTATGAATTATAACAGTACTTTCATTACAATTGCTACAAAGTTTCCGTTTTCAAACATTGCATTAAAAGGGTACTTGACACAGAGATGAATGGCATCACTGTTTCAGTTTTACCGAAAAAATGTCTTACGAAGTGTAGACCCTAGGGAACCAAAAATGTCAAATGTTCACTTTGATCTATCATTGAAACTTTCCCAAGGAGAGGTGCATAACGACTGCAACTAAAGCCCATACGACGAGCAAGTTGTCCTTGACAACTTTTATTTTCTCGTCTATAAGGAAAAAATTTTAACCAGACTGTTAATTTAGAATGTACTGATTTCTTTGGTAGAAACAAGTTCAGTTCTTGACGGACAAAACAAAACACATCAAAATGCTGGAGAAAAAAGTTGTATCCTTGAAAACCAACGTTGAGCGATTGGAAAGGTATTTGTTTGGTGGTTATATTTATAATTTTGCCTCAATCAAACGCATACTGTATATAAATTGCTTCCAATTTGAACCAACTAAACAGATATTTGGTCATGAATTGGTAATAGTTTCAGGGCTCGAAATGGTGGACTGCCAATCGCCAAAAGCAGGCCATATCTTGGAAATGCGTGCCAACTAAAAAAACTGCCAAGTAAAAAAAAAATGGCAGGTGAAATTCTATATATATACTGTATTTAAATTCATTTGCTTACCACAACTCAATACTAGATCATTTAGTTCACTAAATACGTTTATGTTTGAAATGTAAATCCAAGTTTACTGTAGTAAGTTTAAATATAATAAAAATGCATACGTGTATCATGAAAACATTGATTTTTACAATGTCACTCATATGAGACATCGCCATTTTGTTCAATGAATAAAAATGGCAGGCTAAAATTTATTTCACCTGCCAAAATTTTTAGACTGGCAGGCCATATTTTTTCTCTACTTTGAGCCATGAATAGTTTCCTCATGGTGTTGTAGACAATTAGAGAGAATAATTGAGAACTGATTGAGCTATCCAATATAAATAATTTTTTAGTTTAATTTAGTTTTGTTCAGTTACCTCATGTTTGTATGTGTGTGTGTTACAAAATATCAAACGTATTGATACCAAAATATGTGGGACTAATAAACAATTATTGAATGAGGTCGAGTAGGATCAGTTAGGATATGAGGAATTATTAAGGCAGAGGTTTGTGTTCGGCTTCGGCAGATAACACAAACCGAGTTACTCATATCCTGCGAGAACCAAATTCAATAATTGTTTTATTATTTATTTGTCGGAATACACAAGAAAGGTCGGCGAAGCTTTCCTTTGAGGAAGCCATTTGTATTTTCCCGCTTTTGGGTTGGCATAAGCTGCATAAATTAACGTGACGTCATAGCGTGTTACATCAATGGTTTTTTTCAATATACCTCGAAATTGCGTCAAACGTGGTATATTTGTTTTCAATATTTCACGGTGATGTCATAACTCCAAATGTGGGCATGCAGCTACCGAGCCGGATATGACGTTTCACCGACGGCTCTTAGCCAATCAAAATTCATGAATTATTTTGAATAACTAATAATGGACATTATCCAAGGACAAAAATTGATCAGTTAAATTGGGATGAAAATCGGATAATTTATGCATGGTATACTTGACATAATTTGCTGCCGGAGGTATATACAGTTTTTGAGTGCCCTCTTATACAGTAGGTTTGGTTTAGTTTAATTTAGTTTAGTTTAGAAATACTTTAATATATTTTTCTAAGCTTGTTATGATATCGTATTTGTTTAGATTTGAGACCATGTTACTTGGTACTCACGATGAGGCGGAAGATATGCTGAGAAACATCGGCACTGGTTCTAAAACAGTCAATGAACTAGCCTCACAACTCATCATTATGAAAAGGTACTGGACATAGATGTCTTTTCCATCCAGGGGCGGCAATGATATTTATATTCAAGAAGTTACTACACATGTAATCTCAAATTGTGTTTACAATAATGTTACTCTTTTTTTTGTAGAGAGAACGGGAAAATGCGAGATGCCAAGAAAAAATCAAGCGCGGAAAAAGCCCAACTAGAGAGAGATTATAATTCTTTGAATCATAAAGTGAGTAAATATTTCTTAATTTGGCCGAATTCAATATTTGTTGGGGGGGGGGGGTGGTGGGGGGGGGTGG